CGTAGGATGTTTGAAAAAATTTTTTGTTTAAATATTATCACAAGCATTAATTTTTCAAGAGAGGGAGTTGTTTATTAACATCAAATTAGTTTATAATCACGTGGGTATAAATTTGTGTAACAGATTATTTAATGTAACAGAACCGTTTGTTATAGTCTTCCCTAAGGGTATATGTACACAATATGTATATGAGTTATTACGAAAACATAAATTGCTTACTCATTTCAAAGAAATGTCTGAAAAATGCTTTCAAATTTATGTAACAAACTGATGATATGAAATAGCGTTTCTTAGCACATTTTGTTTCTCTTAGTTTTAAGGAATTATTTACATGCTCTGTGCCATGCAAGCCACCAATTACTCTGGACAGTACAGTAAATCTTCGATTAATGTTCGAAACTCGGAACCGCTTTGGAGTATTTATAATAGAGAGACACGATTTCTTCACTTAATAGATTTCGGGCCGAGTCTCAACAGCTCGCCTTTGTAGTTATACGGCAACGACGGTCGAGGTAACCGACAAAGATTGAAAGCCTGAGCATTAGTGAGACAACACTAATGCAAACGTGAAATTTTTTCATTACTGATTCATTGTCAATGAAATTTTTATTAACACAGTGGTGTGATTTTTCTGATTGAAATAACACTAAACACGGTATAATTTGGATCATAGAGTAGACTAACATTCCTGTGTTATTTTTATGCATAAATGCAGTTGCAAGATATCATTTATTTTATTTTACTCTAATTTTAAACAAAAGCATCGGTTAGATTAGTTAATATAAGGTTGTTGCAAAAGTTTCGACCCTTCTTAAGGTACTTAAATAAAAAAAATTTGAATTTACCTTTATAATATTTTTCAAGTGGCTGTTATATTTTCAAAATAACACACACATACACACACACACAGTCTATTTCTCAACATGTATAGGAGCATTTATTATTAACTTTTAAAAGACTGATGGACAGAAATTATGCAACAACTTAATACTATACTTCATCCACTATAAAAAAGTTATTGGAAAGATATATGTTAAAAAACTGTTAGTTTAGAAAGGTACAGAAACGTACTAAAGAAAGGGTAGGTAAGTATATTAATTAAAAAAAGTACAAGTGCCATTCTGTATAAAAACAACACGGAAATAACAAAGAAAACATGTTAAATTTACAGAAACATCTATTTAGGGAACTAATTATGTATATAAATATTAATTTTTACAACCACTAAGAACAACTTTTTGATACAGAATAGAATTCATTAATATTAAATAACGAAAGTACTTTAAATACTCGTTTAAGGACTTGCATTGCACTTAAACGACTCATAAAAAGAATTACGTAAAGAAGATTTACCTATGTTGTTCATAGAATTTATTTGAAAGTAATCCATTATATAATCAAATCTTAGTAATACATATTTACTATTGCTAATTATTTAAAAATAAATATCAGTAAATAATTATATTTTAGAAATATCTACAGTTATAATTATTTGAAAATAAGTAATAGTTCAAGACAAGATATGTGTAATACATTTGATGTAATGTATCTTACAAGTTCCTGTACGGAATTACACAGTAACTACCTACACTTTTCGGTTCTATGCAGATGCATTTAAACATTTCGAAAATAATTTGAAGGGGTCATCGATCACTTATTCCATAAGAGTGGCAAAAGGAATAAAAGTTCAGACAGTATCAGTTTTCTTATAGGTACCGACGCGTCTGCTAAAGAAAATAACCGCTTGAAGATACATAAAATAATCGGAGCGCAGGAACATCCGTCGGTTAATGCGTAGCTAGAATGCGTTGTATGTCTACTTATGTTTCAGAATTACGAAAACGACCTCAATATTCGCGAACCATTCAAATAAATTGCATTTGTACTAATCTTATTAATTAAGTGTAGGTTCGCTAAAAGTGTCCGAGAAAGTTGTAATAAACACTGCTAATAATACGTAAAAATAAAATCATTAGACACAACAATACATTATAAATAAACTATACTCGAGACTACCAACATCGAAGTTTTATAAGTCATTTTGTACCCTATTAGGAGTATGTTGTATTTTATGTTTTCTAGGGTACATGCTATTAAATGTGGAGGAAAATTTGAACGGACGTTTTCCACCAAATTTTTATTCACGGAAAATTTCCGCTTGGTGGATTATTAAAAAAAATGATGAGATTTGTCACTTTGTTATCAAGTATGCGGGGAAGATAAAGGAATACTGTAGACTTATATAACAATGGTATGCGAAATGTACGCAGAATTCTTGGGAGAGTAAGAAAGTTCACTCAAAAACTAAATCGATATTATTAAAAGGTGTCTAAAAAAACTAAAGTAAAATATTTAAAGTACGGGAAAGTAAGAGGCCTATTTATTATTTAAACTGAAGGCTTAAAAGAAATTATCTTAACATAAAGTTGGTTTTAATGTAACCCAATGTCAATAAAAAAACAAAGAATAAAACTAAAAGTATAATAATATTTTGTATGTATAATTTGTACATTCTTATTGAAGATACTTCAAAAATATTTCGTCGCGGATTAACCTAACATAACCTATATAAAGCGTGCCTTAAAAAACTGTCACTTTTTTCGCAGTTTTACTTCAATGATTTAATAAATTTAAGGAGAAGTATATTTCAATGTAATAATAACAATTACATGACGCATAAAACACATCAGTTAATTCAATCGAATGATAAAAAATGTTCCTATTGGAAAGTCATCCGAACATAACCTAAATATCAGGATATTTTCCAAATGAACTCCATTTCTCTAAACTTAATAATATTCCATATTACTGTTTGTTCTCGCAAAAAATATCATACTAATTATGCAGACTTTTCAATATACATCAACAATCTGCCATGAAATTAATAAAACCTTAACAAATAAGTAGATTCAAAATTGGGGCATAACGTCAATTTTAAAAAGTGTTCTTCATTGAATTAACCCACATTTTCGACAAAATCATTTCGACAACACTTTCATTTATTGCGACTGGATTCATGACATATCAATACATAAGAACCCTGCTTTTCATTTCACAAATACAGTAGAACAATAGTAACTCGTATTTGGACATTCTATTGCGACGATTAATTCACAAAAATCTTTGACGACTCGTTTGCGTGTAGAACTCATTGATAAAAAATTGTGTTAGCTTTTTAACACAACAAAGAACATAATATTACGTATGCATATGCATGATTACCAATATACGTCACGAACAAAAACATGTAGAAGAAAGTGCACTAAACCATTGATTCACTGTTAACTGTCATTTCACGATATTTTCACTGAATCCACGTTAAAGTGGTGTGCATTAGAAGAACAACACTTCAACAATGCTTTTTTGCCGATAGGCGAACTTGCAGAGGCACGAAACGAATGCATTAACATGACATAAGAACAGACGGACAACATCCTCCCAACGTGGAGGACAAGCGGCGACTAAAGTACGCTATGGAAGTTCCAGAGCAGTGCCGGGTCGAGCGCTCTGATTGGTCGAGAACTCTTCCGGGCGACTAGTATGGTTGGACAGTCGACAAAAAACTGACTAATTAGATGTGACTTGTTATCAATGATGCGTAAAACGCCAGTTTAAACAAAGAATGAGTATTTCTTGAAACGGTTCATAGATATTATTGTTGCAGTGGAATAATTGTTTCAAATACAGTGCTTGCTATGGCTAGTCTTTCAAAATAAAATAATAACATTTTCAAAAATTACCGTTATCTAAAGTTGTAAAAATCAATAATCAGACTTTATCGTAGAAATAAACTACGATAATTTGTATACTTTTATTTTAATTGAACTTATAAATATCGGTGTTTTATAAAGGTACCTTGAAAGTAGAAAAAAACTTTACCGGAATGGCTAAATAGACGAACTCTTCCGTTTGAGGCGGTGTATGTAATACTTGACAAGAGAAATCGACTAAATGTCAGATAATACTTAACAACTCGAGCTCTTTAACATAAGCTTGGATATTAAAAACAGCATATAATTAACGTTAAAATTAATAAAATAAAGGTAAGAAAGAAGGTCGGAATTTTAAGACATAATTACTTTATTACACGCATACATACGGCTCTAATGATTTTGGCCGTTAATAGTTGAGCGGCTAATGGTCCGAACGGCAAAGAATTATTAGAGCAGTATGTACACACATATCATTTTAATGATTCTTACCGTTCGTAGTTGGGTGGCTAATAGTTTAGCCGACAAAAATCATTTGGTCGATGGGCGACAGAAAGTTATTTTCTTTATAAAAGTGAACTAGATTGAAGTTAAATATCTAAGAGAAACATTATACACAGTGTAACGTTTTTTAATTTTGAATGCAATTTTTTTCAAGGAAAACTCATTGAAATGAATCACCAATGGAATGACTATAAGTCTTGAAAAAATTATCACAAATACCAATAACATAAGTGAACGATAAAGCTGGACTTTTATCGTCGAATATAGTACCTTGTTCGGTTGACACAATGGTTAAGCTGTAAATATGATTTATGAGAAAGATAAACGAAATACGCAATTTTCTTGATAAGTCGTTCAGATGTAACAATAACTAATAGCTGCTTGGTGGTCACAATTTCTTTGATTTCTAACCAATGTGCTAGATTTGCGTGAACAATTTTAATGCAACAGGTAAAACGAGTTAAATGTTTTATAATTTGGGAATACAGTTACAGTCTAAACATTATCAATACTTAATACTGAAACGTATCAAAGCTATAAAAAATATAACTTATGATTTCAGCAATCTGAAGACCTTAATTTATAACAATCTAATTTTTTTCGTAGATAATTATCATTGTTATTGAAACAGTGTAAAATCTGGCTAAACGTTGCAAAATGTAAAATTTTCATTCCACATACTTTAAAATGATATGGGTGGAACTTCATTTAGCCGAGTCAAAGGCGTGTATATAAAGTTAAAATAGTAAAAAACAGTAAAAACTATATATATAAAAAATTACTTACGAAAGTAGTTGAGGGTCTCCCGGATTTGGTCCGGTGACAATTTCAAATCAGCGTCGACAGACTTTAGCGCTGGTGACGGAATAAACCAGTCAGAGTTTTCGTATCCTGAATGTTACAAACGAAATAAATCATTAAAATCTTTATAATTATATTTGTTTAACGTTAAACACGTTGTAACTAAATATTTTTCTAGGAAATAATTCTTGGAGTGTGATATTATATGGAAAAACTTAATAAAAAGGGTATAACACGTCCTTAATAAAAATACTTATATAATGCCCTGCTACAACATATAATTTTGTAATTTTTCTTGCTTCTAGTAATCCATATTTCTCTTATTTTATACGCGGAATAGATATTTCGTCTACAGACTTTTTTTGGAACGTCTATTACATTGTATGCAAATTTTAGTAACAATCAATTATAGTACTTCGTAGCTATTAAAAATAATACAACACTAATCATCAATTGATTAGATATACAATTTCTTTCATTTTCAAATTTTATGTTAATTTTTCTTTATAAAAACTATACGTATTACGGTACAATAAGATACTGGTCAAACAGAAAGTCACTACTGTAGAAATGTATGTAACAAAATAGTATGTAGAAAACGTAGATTTTTTCATTGTTATTGTACCTACATACACACATATTTGTAAGTACAAAAAACACAAAAAATGGATGTTATTATCTTATTAGGCAATATTTTTATCTAAAAATGAAAAAATTTTATTATAGTCGTTAATACATTTTTACTGGTTCACTACTTTGTATCTTTTATATATTGAAATTAGCATTAGAGTAAACGTAATCAGAAATCGTAAAGTGATCTTTAAGCTGCGTATTCATGAGCGCTGAATCGCTCGTACGATACTCGTTCGGAGTTCGTTCGTGGCTAGTGTAGGATTCATTCAGAATCCGCATGAGCACCGATCCGACAAGTATCCGCACACCTATATATCTACAGAAACATCTGAATACGTTTACACTGACAAGGGAAGGCACGGAAGTGTCCCCATCCGATTTTGATAAAACTTCGTATGTCTGTTAAGCAGTCAAAAATAAGGGATGCGTATTTTTTTTATCGGCTGAGACGCGATTTTAAGGGGTGAAACCACCCCTTGAAGTTTCGACCCGAAAGTACTATCTCGAAAACCAGAGGAGATACATGAAAACTTGTAATGGACGAGATTTTATGTAGAATAATATGGTGCTAACAAATTGTCCAAAATATAATTTGTTTATAACAAAAACATTTCAGATTAAAACTTCGAGGGGTGGTTTCACAAATTAAAGTCGTGTCTGAGCCGTTAAAGAAAAACACATCCCTTATTTTTTATTGCTTAACAGACATACGAAGTTTTATCAAAATCGGAGGGGGACACTTCTGTGCCTTCCCTTGTGAGAGCCATCCGATCGCGTGCTCATTTGAATGTATCGACAGAGAACGGATGGATCGAGTAGCTCGACACATGCTCGATTTGCGCTCGGTTCAACGTCCACACCAATATGTAAAATGTTGGCTTATTCGATGCTCTTGCGATGTTCATACGGATGGAATACTCAGATGAATACGTGGCTTGAGGCAAAATTTACAATAAAATGATTAAAACTTTAAGTGGGAAGATAATTATTTTCAAGTAGCTAGATAACAAAATTTGAATATTTTCATCGTTTTTAATAGCAATACGAGATTGATAATAAGACCAACATAAATAAAGAGCTATTTAATTTAAAGTATAATACATTAGATGTTCTCCGTAATACAATACAACATTTTCAAACAATTAAAGTTTTGGTTTAAACTTTACACAGTTCGATTCTACATTTTTAAGGTCAAGGTTATACTATAGTTACACATATATTTAGTGCTGTAGCCATATTTGCTACTCATATTTTTGTATCATATGATGGAATGAGCAAGAATCGTCAGAGAGCTGCGCTATATGTTTCAACTTTTCTGACGTTAACTAATAAAACGTGCAAAGGATAAAAGTACATAGTTTCGGCAGAAGATATTTACGACAACAGAAATATGTTTTTTTAAATATTTAAATCCAGGAACAGAAGTTATAATAACAATTTGTAAGTACAAGGAAGAGAAATTCTCTTGAATAATGAAAACCATTGTTACGATTCCATAAAGTTTGCATCCTCTATTCAGAAGATGTAGAAACTTTGAATATTAAGGAAATTTAAACAATTGTTATTTATTACCACGTCCGTGAACATACAAATATTTTAATTGAAAGGACAAAATCCTGCGTGTATGAACATTGATATTGAACTTTCAAACGCGGGCATTGATATTCTGTATAGATGTTTACCTTGAAATTGAGTGAGAGTATCGGCTCGTAGACGGTACCTAGGTATTTGTTCCTCTAACAAACTGATGATCTCAACTTCTGGTATTTCACCACCGCTGCAGACCTCTGCAATAAAAGTAAAAAATTATCAAAGTAAAGTAAAATGTATTGTGTTTTGCAACACGTTTTAACAATAAAATTCGCAGTCTATTAATAAGTTTTTGGCTATCAAACGTTGGTTCTAAAAACCTCGTTAAGTAGTCGTTATCATGTAACAATAAATTGGGAACTCTTACATGTGCCATAACACATCGCTATTACCAACCATACGCTAATATAATTGTATCATATCGTATCATTTAGTATTTTACGTAATTTAGTTTAACATTACAACAGAAGGAATCAATAACGTCTATTCGTAATTTAATTATTTCATTTTTGACATTGAACGTTTAAACATTTAGAAGGCCTCCAATAAGAGGCAAATCAAATCACTAGGAAATAATAAAGGCAAAGACCGAGTGTCGGTACAAAATATAAGTTTCTTTAAACCAACATGTACAAACCTCTGTATTATTTAAGAAAAAAGAAATATACATTTCGTACGATATTTTTAATCAATGTATACATTTGTACCATGATCCTTCTCATATTCATCCTTAGATAGTAACGGTAACAAGCCTGGAAAGCGACTATTTTTTATACGACTACTCGATTACTCATAATACGGTCGTCGAACCGTGATGTACAGGGTGTCAAGAACTTACATGTCGCAGCGAGACAAAATGAGAATAAAAAGTCTGAAACGAACCATGGAGTCGAAACTCAATCGTTCTCTTGAAAAATGATATTGAAGCTTCATTCATTTTCAAACCGATTTTATTTGTAATGTAATAAATCTCGCAGTCAAATACAACTCAGATACCATGCTACTGGCGAAGCAGTGGGTATTTATTTCAACCTTCTATCTTATTTTTATCAAAAGTTCTACGATTTTTATACAAAAATGAACAGCTTGTTCCACTGCCAGTCGCAGCTCGCTAACTTGAAACGGGGGTATACCAGTCACTTTTAGAACTCCTTGTGAGACTAATTTCAATTGCTCCAACCTTCTGAAGAGCTCATTTTATGGAGAATATTTCAAGGAATATGAGCTTATTTTCTCTAAATTTAAACACCCCGTGTCCCTCATAGAGAAAATCACAAAAAAAGAATTTGTGTATAATTTTCAGTATTAAAAAATCAATTTTTCATACAACGAAAAATGACTATAGTAGGGCAATGCTTTTAAATTAAAATAATCGAAGAATGAACTCGATACGATAAATACTTTCTGAGATATAAATTCTTGCTTCCATCGGTGTTTCACGAAAATAGGCAAAAATCGCAAACTTCGGCGACCTGTATTTTTTAAACGAATTCGAGAACAGAAAAATGATGGCTTAAGGGTACATTCTCGTGTAAACGCTTGAAAAAACCCATTCTTCTGGATTAAAAAAAAAACTATTACATGTACAGTAAAATTTTTGCTGGTATTTATTACGCCCGTGGCAGTGTTGGTTACCAATCGCAGCGCGTAGCCAATGCTACTGCGGGAGCTTGGCCGGCAACTCGCGCTCTGATTGGTCGGGGTTTTTCGTTAATATCTCGTTAACAAAGCCTCGGATAACATTTTTGCTAAGGAAAAACTTGTTTCAAATCACCTCACGAATCTCCTATTTCAGGGTCCTCCAACATTTTTGTAACTCCCTGTATTGGTATGTGTGCAAGAAACCGTACACTTACGCTCTATTTCTACCCTCCGAACATCCCAACACTTGGCGCTGCGGAGAAAAATAGCCAGTACTGTAAAATAAGAGACGACATACGACGATTGCGGATCCAACCGAAGCCCTCAACGCTCTTACGGCGATCATCAACTCGATCCTACAAATCCAGTCGCGGAACGAACGCACGAAGAAGTCTGATGAACCAACACCGAGCAGTTCATTTGCAAACTCTGAACTGGTTAACCACCTCAGTTCTCGCGTGGAGAAGTACAGTTTCGGTAGTGGGGAAGTTAGGCCTACTGTCCACTAAGGCGTCTCGTCATAGACACGTCAGTGTAGCGTACATGACGATTACGCTACGCTTGTGCGTATTGGAAGCGTATAGGATGCATACAGAAAGCTTAATTTTATGGCCTTATGTTGTAATTATATTCGACGGCGTAAAAGTCAGGAACGATATTGGTTACATCCTTACATAGAATAGAACATAAATGATCATGTATTTCATTCTTTCTACATATAGAATGAATAAAAGTACGTACAAAAATTACCTAAGTGCGTTTGGTAGCTCTGCGAATCAAAAAACAAGACACTAAAATGCGATGTTGTGTTAGCCATATACAAACATGGGTATTTTTTCTATTTTTGTTTATATTTCATGGATAACTTTTTAACAGTCTGTACCAATTTCATGGCCGATATATTTCACACTCAAACACAAATGAACTTATGACTTATGCATAAAAGTAACGTAGAGAAAGGGCCTCCTACCACTTGGTACATTTAATTCGAATACCGAAATAAACGTTAAATTAATTTCACATAAATTTCAATAATTCCCGAGACCAAGTGATAGAACGCCCTTCTCCTGCACTGCTTTTTCCCCTAGCTGAAGTTGAGTTTGCTCGTGAGGGAACATGAATGCCGGCGTATTGTCAGTGCTGCCGCATAACAGTCGTTGCGTGAAGTAAAATGTAACACCTCTTATCTCCTGCGGTAATGAAGTATGCAGATTCAAAGACCATTCCGTGTTACAGTAGGCATTCAATTCCCGCGCTACCGTACTGCACGGAAGGACACGCCCCTTGCTTATACGTCTTTCTCACACACGTGCGCGTACCCTACTCTGTCGCCCAGCGCGCTCAGGCCGGAACACATACGGTGTCGCGTTTAACACGCATATCTCATCACAGAAAGTAAAATGTATGTAATACTGTTTTAACAGTAGAATTACCAAGCAAGTCTAAATGATTTGTCAGTCAGTACACTCCTATAACGATGATTTTAATGTTATACCAATCCACTTTCTAAGATCTTTGGAACTTTTATTATGATATGCAAGTGAAGAAATTAGTTAATTTATAAGTTTGTAAATTTTCAAAAGTTTGCCATGTTTATCGATCGATCAAATTAGACATGCGTTTATTATCGATAGTTCTAGTGTTAATAAAATGTTTGTAGTGTTAATAAAATTTTTATTGGTGCAATGAATATTGATGGAATGAATACTGGTGGCAATGTCATTGTTTCTTGTCTCGCGGATCACACGTAATGGGTAAAAGATGCTAACCAAGCTCAACATTTGTCACTAAAATATGTCACGAATTATTAACTTTTGCACATAATACCTTAATACTTTATTACGCAGCATGTTTAGAAGAATCGATTTATGTAAAAAAAGTATTTTTATTCTATAGTATTTCAATATCATTAATAAAAGAACATAATTAACTTTGAGAACTCAAAAGATCCTTCACCTACGAAGAAACTGTTACTGCTAAGTAATAGCCCTATCCATACTAAACAACTTCTGTGAATAAACTTTTCTGATATCACTAAAAGTAACGAAGATAATTAAGATGACCGTAAAATGCGTATATCCAACCCACCCTATATATAAGTGTGTCGCACAACTGAACGGCCGAGTGGCGGGGAGAACACGCGGGTGATTGGAGCTCGCTTATTGCAGTATTCCTGGAATTCTAGCCCTCCACAGCCCTGAAGGCTGCAATAAACGAGCGCCTACTGTACTTCTTTGTAATTAAGCGTAATTGTTTACGTTGTTTTTAATCACAGCATGCACACTAGAAAATTTTAATCAACCAAAAGCGTATTCAATTTGGTTTCTACAAATGCTTTCGAGCCAATTTCTGCAACAAAATTTCGATATTAAAAAGTACTTTCATTTAGGAATATAATTTAATGCTCGTAGCTGTGTAACATTTTATTTGACCGACAAGATTGATTAAAATATATAGAATTAACGAAAATACTTCGAAATAGAAGGGAATGATGGATGAATGGAATTTAGCAACTTCATTAAAAAATATAAGTCGTACCATCTCTCCATTTGCTAAGAATGCTATCTCTTTTTTCAAGAATCTTTTTAAGCTTTGCGGGGCCACAAGGCCGAGCTGATGCACCACCACCGAGGTTCATAATCCTTTTTTCCACACTAATAATTCCCACTCATCGTTCTTTTTCTAAATATCGGTGTCTCTTTCAGCACAACACTTGAATAACTTAATTTACACACGCACACACTCAGATGTTACATTACAGTTTATTCTTAACAATTGTATTCATCTTTTCATTGCAATTACATTATATTTATAAATGTAAATAGATCCCATAATTCTTTCTACTTTGAGAAACTTTTTTCAAATTAATATTTCTTTAATAAAATGTACAATTGCGTAATCACAAGAAGAAACTATGAACCTTTTTGTTCTTATATATAGAGAATAGTAAGAAATAAAAAGTAGTTATGTAATTGCTATCAGATTTCAATAAATATTATAAGATTATGATGATTGAACTGGAAACGAGAATACTATAATTGTGCTTTTAAAATGCGTTACAGAATTGATAATTTCACTTGTAAACACTTTTTATATTTTCGCACTGCAATGTCTAACAGCTGTCGTCGAGTTTTGCAAACAAATTCGAACACCACTGATAATTGTTCGTAACAGGTGTTGAACGGTTGCAAGGAATGAAACTTGCAAAACTCGTGAGAGTCAAGGAAACGATCGTGTGGATTCACAAGTCGAGTTGGAACTTAGTCTACAGAATGAAACAGACAGAAGGAGAGAGAGAAAGAGAAAGAGAGAGAGAGAGAGAGAGGATTGGGAGGGGAAGAGAAAGAGATAGAGCAAAATAGAACGAATTTACTGGCTGTAGGCCAATCTCGATTTTTTACCAAACCCTGAATAGATCGATTACTAAAAGATTGATTTTTATCAATTTTTCTCACAATTGCTTTGATCTGCCGTTTTAAAAATGGTGGTTTTATTTTCATGGTAATTGAATTTCTGGGTATCTATATTGAAAGATCAGAGACATGAATCACCGGTAAACTTGGACATACATTCTTTAAAACACAGAAGAAAAAACACTATTTTAAACGTCTCATTATTTATATTCATTAATAACTTAGAAAAAATATCTTTTCTATACACTGAAACGTAGCACGTTGTTCCTAAGAGATTTTTTATTTAAATCAAATACTTACAATAATAAACAGTTTTATGTCTTATATTACCGTATTTGTTTTAGTCTTGAAATATTTGGTTTCGTCTTCTCTGTTATAAACAATGACCATTCAACAATCAAAAATAAATTGCGAACTTATTTTAATTACTAATTATTTTACTCAAATAAAAAGCAAATAAGATATTATATAGATATCATTCATTGCTAGGCTAATAAAACAAAACGTGTTAGTTTTAATTACTACGTATTAAGTGTAGTGATTTGTTAAAAATCAAATTTCTTTTGAGACAATTTTTCATGCAATAAACTAGCCTCCGTTGAAGGGAAGTTATGTTTAAATAACTACTTATATTTGCACAATACATTCTTTTTGTCAATCTTAACTTTTCATCAAACAAGACATTTGATATACAAAGTCACTTTAAAATTATTTTATTCAAGTAGTAACGAGGTTCAATTTAAATGTTACTAGGCGCATGGTTATTTTGAAGAAAATTTTATTTTACGACATTAGGCTGCAACATTATGTTTGGATTTAAGTCTACTAATCATTTTAAGATTGATACATTTTCTGCCACCTGACATTTTTAGATTCCAATAGCGCTTTATGGATTCGTCCGAAAATTAATTTCATAACGGTTAGTTACAAGAATGTTGTAAAGAATCTTTGGTTGTTTCATTTCTGTTCCTTTTAGATACTTTAATGCAGGAGTGAACTAAACACCGTGGGTTCCGAATGATTCATGCGGTTCAGATATATTACCAGGTTAAACAAAAATAAGAAAAATATAATCGAAGATATTAAATAAAAGATTACATAAAAGATTTGAAACACATTTGGTTTACATTTGGAAACAAAAATTCAATGAAGACTTCAACAAATAATTCAAACGTATTTTTTTAATTGTTTTATTAGGTTTGTAACATATCATGATTTATAAATAATTCAAATTTTATATTTACTCTTTGATGATTCATACATGAGACTATAGAGTGTAATGACCAGAATAACAAACTCACGAGTAGACACATTTAAATAGGAATTGTTTTCAAACTAGGAAATAAATTTATCATAATATAGAGTTAGTTAACCAGTATAATACCTCCGCCTGTATTCTTAATAGGCAATGACCTATAATGCGTAATTTACTCAACGCTGCGAAATTAGCATATTTTCTAGTTCATTCTCGTAAGAGTCGGTTGGTTCAATTACGATCAGGTGGACAAGTGGGTATCACATTAAGAGAACATGAAATGATCAACCCTTTATAGGTCGGTTATTTTCGGCGCCACGCAACAAAGTGCGTTAGTTATTTCTGCACCACCGTCAGACTCGTAAAATTATCTTGTCAGCTGATCTGAAACGCCGTGTGTACCACAAAGATACGATTCACCATTGTTTCAATTGCGATATTTAATATTTATGTTAATTACGATATTATAATTTTGTTGAATTAAATTAAGAATTTCAGAACTAATTCGCAGCTATACTTTTACGATTTTGTAATCGTAAGCATTCGTGGGAGGAACATGAATTCAGAAACGAAGTTAGAGTTTACAATTACTCAAGTATAATATAAGTAAATTCTATTTTAAAAAATGTTTCAAAATACAAGGTAACACAAAAAAAGAATTTTCTTAAAATTGTTTTAAAAGGTGAGATAAATGTTGTTAAAGAAACTATGACAACTAATGAATATTTAGTTTGTCAAAAATAATGATGCATCTCTTATGTTCGTAAATCAATGCACGAATGCCACCAAGTTCAATACTTAATCCCAATGTATACTAAACCGTGACTTTATTATTGTAATTTAAGTAAATAAATTCAGCAATAATAATAATAATATTCAGAAAACCTGTGCTGTAAAATTCTTTACCGAAAATACATTTATAGAAGAATTACTATGTATTTTATTAAAATATTATTAGCCTGCTCTTTCATAACAAATCCATCAAAACTTCTGTACTCACAAAATATTTGCAATAATGAGAATAGTCATTGGCGTTAACGGTCGCCGACAATCTAAAGAAAATTATCGTTGGAAATCGCTGGAAATGTGTATTCAGAAATCACAGAAGACTTTAAAGTAGACTATAACACATTTTTGAGTCATTTATGGAAACTTAGTATTGTTTCGAAGCTGAATGAATTATTATTACGATTTGCGTATAGAGAAATAGTAATTATTTTTCCACCAAGGCTCGAACATATGTACTAAATGATTTATGAGTCGACTTACCTGGAAGCATACAATTATTTACTCAATGAAAATAATAAATGCCAAAGGACTCGACATATCTAGGAATAAGGAAATACTAAATTATTTTTTCACAGTGTTTTCTGTCACAGACAAGGAACGATTATCTTAGTTTGATGACGACAACAACAACAACAACCACAACAATGACGATGATGATGATGATGATGATGATGATGATGATGATGATGATGATGATGATGATGATGATGATGATGATGATGATGATGATGATGATGATGATGATGATGATGATGATGATGATGACCGAAAACGATGATGACGACGACGATCCTAACGATAATAATGATGACAATGATCGGGAAAAGTAATCATCATTTGTCAGCGGTGAATGCCGGGTGCCATGAAGGTTCACGGGCTACCATAAAATACTCGTTCTCAAGATCGGAGAGGATAGTTCCTCCTTCGACTTCACTAAGTCTAGAACATTTCTTCCTGATATACATTCTATATCCCGGGAATACTGAATTACGTACGGATTGAAGTTTCGTCGTTCGAACGGAGTTAGTGATATCGTTGAATGTTTAAGTAATTATTAAAAATAAAATTTGCAACTTTACGGCAAATATGAGAAATACTTTTGTTATAAATGAGTATCAGGTGATTTTATATTGTTTTGTTTGTGTTTCTGTGTGGTTCGTCTTTAAACTGTTAAACGGGTGAGTTCTTTACAATTACAAATAATTTTTGAAAATTAAATTCTAAACTCTAGATTGTGCGACTATAGGTTATTCAAGCAATACTTACCGAAAATACGTATGAGTCATTCCACACCAAATCTTTTTGCACGTAATCTCAAGGGTGTTGTTCAAAATGATATATGTTGTAGTTCACGTAAAATTAGGGGGGGGGGGTTAAGGCATCATTTTGCTAACATCGTATTTGTTTAAAAAATACACACCCTCAAAGTTCGTAACTTTTGCCTATTTTCGTGAAACCGAGGAGTATTTATGAATTTTTATCTTGGAAACTGTTCATCGAATTGAGTTCATTCTTTCTTTATTTTAATCAAGAAGGTTTGGTCTATTCGAACAAATTTTGTTTAAATTGCAATATCATTTCTATAACAGGAAATTATAAACAAACTTTTCTTTTGTAAATTTGACCATGACTTAAACCTCCCCAAATTTCACGTGGACTACAACATTATTTTCATTTTGAACAAAATCCCTGACATCGAGTGCAAAAAGTGATCGATTCGGCGTGGAATAAGCCATATACGTATATGTATGGATATATTTATTCAAATTATTTCGAAAGCCGCGATACTTTATGTATTAAGTTACAGACAAAACCAAGCGTTAACTTTGAAATAATCTGTGCAGTTCCTTCCAACTATTTGAAACAAGCAAACAAATTGATTAAGCTGTTAAATGACAAGGTGTATAACTAAAGTATACATTATATAAATTTTCGATGATAATTTTAGAATTTCAAATATGGACTTTTACTAGAATGTAATAAAAGTATTAATATGAGAAAAAATAAACGAATTAGTCGATGATATTATATCACGCACTCGTATCGACAAGTCACGTATTCGTATTCGTTCACTCGCAAACAATCGTATTCGAATATTTGTATCGACAACATTCATTCGCAAACACTCGTTTCGACAAGAGGCATTCGGACTCGAACACTTATTTGTATTAGAACACTCGTATTCGAGCAGTCTTTCGGACTCAACTATTCGTTGCAAGTCTCGTATCAATAAGTCACGATTACAAACTCATGATTCATCAGCTCTACCGGCCGAGCAATTATCTTGTTTATTCTCACCTAGAGAATACTGAAACAGTTGCCTAATATTAATCTGGTGGGCAACAGTCGCAACTGTACACGTACCCCGTCGGTCGAGCCTGGAATTTACAACTACAGGCGGATTCGAAAGAGAATCCGCGCGGACGGACGCGACACGAAGTTTCATTAAAATCGGAGGGGGACACTTCCGTGTCTTCCCTTGTGAGTAAAAAATTTGTCCTTATATTAAAACATTTAAATAATAACATAGAACTAGAATCAGATGAATTGGTGTAATATATATTTCTATATTTTGTAATAAATTGGAGTAAGCATAATTCGAAAAACTTACCGGTGATAGTTTCGGCGTCCTTTGTGGTCGTCGGAGAAGGTGTAAGAGGATACGATATTCTATTTCTGGGAGATCTGAGAGCCAAAAGGGTGGCCCTTGCTGTAGGCGATACTTTAAGTGCGGTGGCTTTCGATCGAATCGACGCCTCGGGCCCCTTCGGAGCCGCATCCTCCACGGCGGCCAGCTTGGACGCTGTGGCGACGAGAGATATCGCCTCACCTTCCTTCATCGGCAGCCATACATGCACAGCAAATAGATTATATTATTTATTTTTACATATTTTAATTACTTAACGGAGAAGCCGTTATTCCACGGATACGCTTGGTGGAAGGTAGGGTAACTGGGGTTGTAAGATAAGTTCGCCCCGTTTCTGAAAGATGAAAACGTGACATTGTATCGTTTAATTCGTTAAGAAATTCAGGCAGTCAGGTACCATGTATCATTTTAAAGGTTAGATTTCAGTGATTATTTCCGTAAAAGTATTTCGCAATCGGTAGCATTTACAGTTTCTTCTCAAATTGTTTAAACGTCACAGAATAAAAAACATTTTCGGCACATAATGCTTTTGTATTACCGAAAAGATAGAAACGCATCACAAACGTGTAAAAAAATATGTACAGTATACGAAGTCGATGCTATAGATGACTCAACCTGCAGAAAGTGGTTTCGAAAATTTGAAAATGGAAATTTTTATTTGAAAGATGCCTTTCGTCCTGGACGTCCTGTCGCAACTGATTCGGATAAACTCAAGGCATTAATCGATAGTAACCGCCATATAACAACAAAAATATTGGTCGTGCATTAAATATATCTGCCATGATTGTTTCAAAACATCTAAACGAACTTGGGCTGATTAAAAAGCTCGATACTTGGATATCGCATCAATTGACTGAAAAGAACTTAATAAATCGGATTTCTGTGTGCGATTCGCTACTGAAACGCAATAAAGAGAACTATCTTTAAAAAGACCGATCACTGGAGATGAAAAATGGGTCTGATATGGGCTGCATTTGGATACAATGGTAAGACTCCGATAATGTGGTTTCCACCAAAAGCTAATGCTGAAAAATACCAATAAAAATAAATAATTCTCTGGACTCTCCTGAACAAAATGATGTATCATAAATTATGTGAATGCACAAATCAGTTTGCGCAAATTATTTGAGCGTGTAAACGGGGCTTAACAGTTTGACCACGTTCGAGCAACTGATAATGTACAACATCCTTAATATTCCACCAAATTCAAAATAACACCCTTTTAACACGAATGTTGGGTATCGCAGTCGATGTTGACGGTTCGCGAGTTCATTCCACGATTTTCTTGAAGTTATAAAAAAATCTACTTTCATCGCCGGTTACAATTTTGGGTAAAAAAAACCTTTCTTTTGAACTTGGTCAGCAAAAACATAGCTGTATAACATCCTCTGTCTTTGTTATCCGGGATGGGTTCATGCGAAATCCATCGGCCTAGCTTCAGAATGTTTCAGGAAATGGAAATCGAATGATAGATAACCAACGTACTCTCCAAACATCACACCATTTGATTTCCATCACTCCCGGCCAATGCAGCATGGCCACTTTGACTCGCACTTTCGAAATTGAAACAAAAGTCGAAAAATGGGTTGATGACTTTGTCGCCTTAAAGGACGAAGTATTTTTTTGTCGCGGTATCCGTATATTGCCTGAGAGATGGCAGAAAAATAGTAGATTCCAAAAATATGTACTTCGATTAAAATTATTAGACTATTCCTTTTATATTAAACAATATATTTTCGAACAAAACCGCGAGAACTTATTTATACGCCTAATATTTTTATTGGTTAGCGTCACTACTTACAATTAGTGACTACGCTCCAGGCAGATACAAGGACAAAACGTTATTGAAATGTGCACAAGAACAAACTGAGTCTATTGATAAAGAAAAGTGTACACATATGGTCGCTTTCAGTGATCCGTGTTCGGTTGGCGGGTTTACGGATATATTCATATCTACACATTGCGTTAAAGAATAAAATTCCAACAGAGGCTCCAATTAGCAACGGAATTGCAAATGCCAATTAAATAAAGTTATTTCGAATTAATTTCAGGAACTTAGTGTTTGTTTTATTATCATTGCTTGTGTGTCACATAAATCTTACCTATTTTAGATATGGAAATCAGGACAGAAATTAAAAATAAAGTAAATACTGTATTATTCTTCGTTGAAGTTTCTATTCGTTTGTATTATGCACGATGGATTACACTATAAATACGCGAAATTAACAGTGTGAAATTCATATTTGGTTTAAAATAATATTAATTTCCATCAATCAAAAGTTAAATGCGAATTGTAACTTCCGCGTTGTGTAGTAGTTACATAAAATTGAAAACTTTAACTGAAGTTATTTAGTTTTACTGAAGTAAAAGAAATTATATTTAATACATATTAGAGTATAATATTGTGTATAATACATATTTTTTAAAATTCGTATGTTTCCTTTGATTTTACTATTAAAGAAATGTTTCTAATTTGAATGATTATTTTAACGTAACTCAACAAGAATTAATAACGATTAAATTCTGGTTAACTTAATGTTAAGTGTTAAATAGAGTTACAAATACCGCAGGTATTTGTACCTAACTAAATGATGAAAATGTTTAATTATGCTTTTATTAATTGCTTCTGTATTTCTATCGATTTCAATGACGTGGTGCAAAAATGGAAATATCCAGTGAATTAAAATTAATTACGCTTCGAGATAATAATATTATAGATTAATACTGTGCAAAATGCTTCTCGAAATTTTTCTAGACAGTTTATCGTCGACATGTTATCAGACCATGATAAGAAAGAAGTGAACAAATATCAGCCACAGTTCCTGCAACGCTATGACGGTACTAAGTACTTAAGACGTAATTGTACTGATTCATCTTTCACTCAGAAGCACTTCCGATTATACTTTGACCAAAGCTATGTATGTATATTACAAGCCGGGGCTGCGAATAACACGAGTACAGGTATTTGCGAGTATTTACCAACAAAATACAGTTTATCAATTTATTAGTAAGGTATACGGACGGATCTGACGCTATGTCAAAGAGCTTCTCGGAAAATTTAAAAGTAGGACGAACCTGATGCGATATCAGGGAGCTTCTGAGGGTGGAAGCACGTGCGGGCGAATTTGACTTTAAGGTCAGAGAGCTACAGGAGGGTAAAACTTCGTGAACGAAATAAAAAAATAGGCGTCGTCTGATTTTTGAAAAAATCAGGGACATTATAGTTATCGGACTACATATCATGGAATTTTTTCAGGTTCTTAAATTAAAAATTCAAGTCGTGAAACATAAAAAACGCGAAAAAATGATAGAAAATGCCGTTTTCGTACTGAAGCATATGCAGAATTATATGCCATTTTTACAGTAAGTAGATATTGTTATTACTATTGTCCTGGAACTATTTCAGATTTTTTGGTCTGGTGCGCCATAGTTAAAAAAATTAAAAACTCATTTTGTCGACGTTTTTTCCCGTAAAAAGGAATCTTGTACAGTAATGTTTCGATGAGTGCGTCACTCGGGTTCACTTCGGAGCATTCATGGCAAGGCGGAAAGGTTTCCAGCCCCTCATAAATTTATTTTTTTTTTCACGAAGCCGAGCCTCTGCTGAGCTTCTGGTTACTCTGTTTTGATTGGTTCCAGAAGGGGACCCCTCCAGTGATGGAAATAACGCCGTTGTTCGTGTCGCATTTATCGGGGAATTACTGTACTTTCAATTTTTTCTATTTTCTTCATTAAATTATTTTATCATACAATCGTAAATATTTATACATTCAGCACAACAACATAGGAATTACAGAAAACAAATAAACTCAATCAATTGAAACCACGTCGTGCGCGTTTCATTCTCAATTCTAAATTATCGACCATTTTCTCAACAACCCCGGGAGCGTAGCGAGTCAAATGTCGGACTCGTAATCGCTGCGAACTTTTTGAACGTACATGGTGCCCTTCTCGAGCTAATTTTTTTTTGGTTTAATAATTATATATTTTTTTCAGTTCCTAACTATATGACAATGATTAATATGTATTAAAAAATATTGTAACCTAAAATATACGTACAAATTATTTTAAAGCGCTTTTTTGATACAGTTTGATATATTAATATGACGTAAAAAATATTGAACAATACCGTAATTGACAGAATACTTGACAAGAGAAACGGTGGCATGAAAAGCGCTTCTAAATCATTTGTACGTATATTTCAGGTTAAAATATTTTTTAAATATTCTTAAAACATTTATAAATACATATTAATTATTGTCATATAGTTAGGAACTGAAAAAATATATAATTAGTACAGAAAAAAAATTAGCTCGAGGAGGGTACGAACCTACGTTCAAAAATTTCGCAGCTGTTATGAGTCCGACACTCCGTGCGTGTAATACTGACGGGCAAATTGGGCTTCTGCTAGGGGAAAAAGCAATGTAGGGGTACGGATCTCCTACCTTTTGCATTAGCATAAATTTCACTAACTCTGAGACGAAGTGGAGATCGTTTGCTTTGTGTATTTAACTATCGAACTACATTTTATTAATTTAATTACCTTAATCTTAAAAACTAAATATAAATAGTGCACTTTTCTAAACATTTAACATTTTGAACACTGCTCTTGACATTGTGGGACTAACAAGACCATTAAATACTTTTGTTCCCGAATCATATTTTTAGTATGTTTCCAACATTCCTATATTTTATATTGCCAAATAAATATCAAAATTTAGCAGGATAGATTAGGTTTATGTGAAACTATTCAATTCTAAAACACTTGAAATTTTGTCGGCGGACAAATTGTAATAAACCAATTGATACTAGCTCATAATTTTCCATGATCCTCTAATGCTGTTACAATAAACTGTATATTTGAAAAAGGTAGTAGAATATCTAAGTGAAAGATTATTTCAATAGAGCCGGTTTTAGAGTACTTCGAAAAATGTTTGCAAGCAAAGAAAACTTACAAAGCCAAATGTAGATGTGTAACATTCACCAGGGGACTGCGAAAATGTAGTTTGCTTCGACCCCAAACCACGTTGAAAAACGCCATCGTAAGTCAATTCAGCGTTATCTTTCTCGCAACTGGAATTTTGAGATTTCAAAATGCGCCTAGCGGAATTCCGTCTAGCTTCCGCGAATGCAATCCCTCTGAGTATCATCTCATAGAAAACGATCACGAACTATCACCTCA